CACCAGCATTTCAGCACATTTCAATTTACTAAAAATGTAGCCACTGTCTATTTTAGAGCTGGGTTTAGTGTCAATTCTTGTATGTTTTCTCAGATCAGTGCTCTCCAGGTTTAATGCCCTGTGGAGGTGTCTTGTTACATCTATACTTTTCTGATATTTTCTGGTTTTGGTCATAAACGAAAAAGCAAAATTCGGTTATAATGAACTCCCCATTATCTGTTATCCTTTGCCTCCTCTACCTACCAGCTCATTTCCTGCTGCCCATCTCAGCATGACTTTCTGAAGAGAAGGGTTGATTTTGTTCCTGTGTTATGAAGTGATGCACAATGCTTAGTAGGAATAAGCAGGTCTAAGGTGATAAGCAAAATTCCAGCTAACTGGAGTCAAAATATTTTGCATATCTTTCCAACATTTTATGTATAATCAACCTTGCTTGCAAAATCCCCGCAAGCCAAGTTCCTTCCCTTTTGCAGCCCATTTCATTTTCACTAATATTGAACCATCCTCTGAGCAGGGCCAGAAGTAGTGAGCTGCATAAATAACTGGAACAAGACATTTTTTTCCTTAGCCAAATGCATCTCAGAGAAATCATGTACAAAAATAATGTCTGTAATAATTACTTTCCTCTCTGGAGTCTTACACTGACTTAACTATATTATTTTCCTTCATATCAAACATCCAAAACATACCTAAAACATCAGCAAACCAATAAAGGTTATTTAAGAGTCTCTATTAATTCTCCTGCTGTTAGCAGAAGGAAGAGTAGTAGCTTGAACCTTAGGGTATGTTTGTATAATCATAAGTAAAAAATATTAGGAAATCCTCATATATATATTCAAAGGTTGATTTTGACTGGAATATCTCTTTCCATTGAGTACACTTGGGATCCTAAGTCATTGCTAATACAGTGCAACTGAGATGTCTTTGGCAGATGATCTGAATATTCCACAAATGATCTATCCACTATTTCCAGTAGAACATGGATCAAAATGAAATCTAGAATATAAGTTGCACTGCCTCTCTGCGTTTATCCCAGTGAATATTCCCGGGGAAATTTGCTTTCAAATGTGCTAGGCTCTGTTTTTCAACACTGTCAGGCATAATCATCTCAATACAGTCACTATGTGCAGATATATCCACAGAAACATCTTACCTCTGCACACCATCACTTTAAATAATGATCATAAAGCTCTGTAAAAATACACACTGATACTACCAGAAAGATACAGATTCAATATAAGAAACAATAAAAGACATTTTGCATCCGACACAGAACAGACACTCCGAGTAGATGACTATGAAGCATACGAATTATATGTTAATTTTAATTTCATAGACCAAGTGAGACATGGGACATTCTGAAAGGTGATCTGCCAAGGAAACCTATAGCAGCAGGACAGTGTGTCTGCTACAAATGGCAACGTGACAGACCACTTGCTTGGAGAACAAGGCAGACACATTTCAGAGCAACTCACGGCTTGCTCAGAGCAGCAMAAACAGGCTCATTTCAGAGGACACCCAGCCAGACCTTTCTTCTTCTCTTGCAACCAGAGAGCAGTTGTGCAAGATCAGCAATCTAGCAGGTGGTGTGTTTGTTACAAAGGTGCACGGAAGCTAAAGAGAAGTCCCGATGTCCCCAAATCTCTCGTGGCAGAAAGCATTTGTCTGCAGCCTCTAGCAGCTAGCACAGCACTTGCAGCTCTTTACCTGTGGGGAAAGAGGACTGAGAGGAGAGGAGGCAAGAGCAGAGGTGTGYGCCTACGCAGAGCATGTGATGGGCATGCTTGGGCACAAGGTTTCCAGGAATCTTATCAAGTCCTCCAGGAAAGGGCTTTTCCACTGCCAGGATGTTGTGCTGCAGGTGATTAGTTTTCACGCTCTGCAGTTTCTCATCTCAAACCAAGGTTCAAAGCAAGTTGTCGGTCACACAGTGCCAGTTCAGTATCGGCTAAAGGACAAGGTTATAAAAGTCTTGCTTTCTTTATACCACTGCCTTAACTGATCTATGCTTTTCAAATACAATTTTCAGGCACCAGTATCAACCGGAAAAGAGCTCCCAGGTGAGCATCACCTCAGGAACCCCAGTGCATCCCTGGGGAAAAAAAAGGCTTAAATACATGAAACAAATATCTGAGCAAATGAGTTGCTCAGCTCTCCTCCTACAAGGARTATTGTCAGCAGGCTGGATTGCAAGCAGCATCCATTCTGTCTGTCCATCTGCATTCGCCTCCTCCCAGGCCTGAGGCAGGAATGCCGCTGTCGCTGCACGGGACAGCAGGACAGGGGACAGCGTTGCTCTGAGCATGAACAGCTCAGAGCTGTTGTTGTTGCTGTTATCACCCAGCAATAAGGTCTGTAAAGAAAAGGCACTATGGCCTGTAAAGGGACCCTGCAACTATTCATATACTTGCTAAATGGTATTTTAGCTGTGATGATGACCAGTTTGGAGATAATTGGTTCTCTATCTCATGCTGTTTCTGACAGTTCAATGGGCTCTTTAATTAACTGGYTGAATTAGCTCTCAGCACAGCAGAGAGAAACTGTGTGGTTTTACCCTCAGGCCCATAGCTAGGAGGAGAAACTCCACCATTATAACCTGGGAACTCAGCAAGAGCTGGGGAGAAAACACCATTGGGATGCAGTAGCAGTTTGTAGTCATCTCACTTTTGCTCCCTACTGTACCCTCCGCACTAATCTGCACAATCCATTAAGAAGCAAAGCCAAAATTTGCTGGTCTTTGACTTCTCCAGCTGTAATGCAGAACATTCACCATTCCCCTGAGTTTAGGTTCTGCTCAGCCCTCTCTTGAGGGACGCAGAGCCCCTGGAGCTCAGGTCTGTCCCCATTTGGAGGTTTTCATTTCTCTTTTGTCAAYTGCCTGCATTTTAAATCAATTATTTTAAATCAAATCTAGCATTCAATTTCAACAAAAACAAATAATGATTTGTAACACTGATCAAGCAAAATGTTTCATTGCACTCAGAAGGATTAATATTTGATTGAGCTGATTTGAGCTTGCATAAGATTTCCATCTGATTTTTKCATCACCAGTAAACCAAAAATTATCCCAACAAGAAGTCATGGAAAAAAAATTGAAGAGTTTCTCTTCAAATTTGCTTGAGAGGACCCTTGCGGGATCAGTAAAGACCTTACTGTATACAAAAGCTGAACTTCTCTTCTAAATCAAAACAGAAATCCTGTTAAATTCACTAAAAGACAACATGTACCCTAAAAAATGTRTAGACTCATTCAGCGTACAACTAGGAGGTTTCACAAAAGATTGGAGTAAAAGTTTAATGGCAGAAMAGAGTATCAGAGAAACATGCTATTATGAAGACTTGTTTGCTAGATTAAAAAATAATAAGCTTCAAACTAAAACAAGAGTGGTGTGGAAAATATTTTTCCCATTGTTCAAAGGTTTTCACAGTTACAAATCTTTTGCTTGTTTCTGATCTGGAGCAGGTCTGCAGTTTCTCACAATGAAGAAGAAAACCACAAACCAGACTCAAATTCATGTCCAGGCCTTTTTCTGCCTCTTGGAGGGTGACTAACCTAGCCAGGGTGTTACTGGCAATTTTATATGAGCCTGTATTCATCTATCTGCTTCTGCTTTAGGCTTTCTCCTTTTTTTTCCCCACTGCTAATTGCCTGCACTCTAAAAGAAATACTGAAATGAAACAAAATATTTCACAATAATTTTACTTCTTCATTTTTAACCAGGAACTTCACTGGGGACACTAGATAACTCTCAGGATCAGGCATTGCACAGCCARTTTACATCTTTGAAAGCTGTATGGTGATTGAAAGGCAGGGAAAAGGGCAAAAGCTGATATAGAAATGCTGTAAATATGAGAAGGAATTACAGTGTTGGAAGGCAGGACCACTCTCTAACTTCTCACAGGACAACAGCTTTCCACCACTCCAGCTGAATGGCTCCAAACTGATGCCTACCAAGCAGCACTTTGGATGAAGAACTGTTTCTCCAAAGCTTTACCGGCCAGCTCTCATGAAAATATGTTGAGCAGCCCAGAAAACATTAATATTTCCAATTATTCATGGTGTGCATCATTGACTTTTCTATCTGAAGTGTTGCTCCCAGTGAGGTCAGTCCTTCACATGTCCTTCTCCACTGTGGCATTCTGGTGAAGCCTGTGCTGATGCCACAGCTGTGGGGTGCAGGTGATGCCAATTGCCCTGGTGCAGAAGAGCAAAATCTTTGGCTGTAGGAGAGCTGTAAATAGCATTTCTGAAGAGCTCATGTTAGGACAGCCTTCAGATTTCCTGCTAAAGTTCTGTTCTTGCAATGGGGGATCTTGGAGTAGTCCAGGTAGGAGATAAGTACAAGCATTCTGTCTTTAATARTGGAAACTACCATTGAGCCCAGCTGCTAGTGCAGATATGCTGAAGGAGATTCTGAGCATGAATCTTAGCAGCCTGGAGCCACATTTTAGTGAATAAAATGAAAGTGAGTGAAGAACTGAAATCTCTATAGTTCAAAACTGTGCTAGTCCAAATTTTCTTTTTCCCTGCATTTTTTTTTTTTCTGATAGGGCTGGCACATTTGCAGGGCTCTTCGGCACTTTCCTATCTGGAAAGCCTATTGTGGCTTCACACCCAATGGTGTCCATTTCAAACCTCTTTTTTTAAGATGGACTTATAGAGACAGAAAGAATAAATAACTCTCTCCTACATCAAATTGGGATTACAGCTAACAATTACTTGGCAGCCCAGTGTAGGTTATTTTAACGAACACACTATTCTGAAATAAGTTTTTGACCATCTGTTCAGCTCTGTAATTATAAATGCAAGCAACCTAATTCATAAATGGTCTATGAGAGAGGGAGAGAAAAAACAGCTTAAGATGACTGTGTTAGTTACTCCAGACACTGAAGCATCTGCTTACTTCATCCTGTTTTGGGAACAGGAGGAAAATATTCTTTCAATTTTTTTTTTCCTGGCAATCCTCAGTAAATGGTTATCTGTAGGTGACAGAGAGAGTAAGTCTAGTCTGTATCATGATCTAACCATGCCTGTRATGGAAGCACCCAAGGGAGACTAGCCTGAATCACAAGAGGGCCATGAAGAAACTGGGAGAACGTTCCAGAAGAACTGAAGGGCACCTGCAGCGTAGGAGAGTGCCCTAGGGCTCCAGGAGATGAAGGTAAATATTGTAGTGCTATTATCTCCCTGAAAAGATGCTTTTGACTTTTTGAAACACTGAAAAATCTTGGGAAACAATCAGAAAGTTGAGAAAAGTATCAGAAACCAAGAATTTCTGGAATTTGTTATTTTAGTCTGTGACATTTTTCATTTTGAAAGAGGCAGAGAGTTGTTGTTGTTGTTGTTTGAAATACACAAAACATCAAATAGCAGTGAAATATGTTGTTTTGCTTCCTTACTGTGTAGAAAAATGAACATGTATATAATCCACATTAAATACATTTTCATGAAGCCATTTGCTTTTAGTACAGCCACACGCTTAACTTCTAAAATATCCGTGAAGAGCTGCCTCTCCCTCATAAAGAAAAGTTTGCAGACTCCACCAAGCTTTAGTAACCGCTTTTGGGGCTGAGTGACTCATGCTTGTAGCCACTAAATTGAACTTCCACATTTTGCCATAAGTAAAAAAAAAAAAAAAAATATAGCAAGTTAGGACACCCACCCTCTCAACTGAACCCCATCCCTGGGGCGAGAGTGAGCAGTAAGTCACCAGCTCGTTCTCTCTTTCTGTTGCTATGTATCAACGCTGCAGAACAATTAGAATTGGTTTCATATTCCCGGCTGCAAAACTAGCAATATATCCAGCGTTTCCAGGATGAAGAGCTCCTGTTGTCCCTCTGCAGGTTTTTCWTCCCTTCTTGTTTCTGAGGTGAGCAAGGTGCTTGCAAGGTGTCTAAGCAATAAGGTTTAAGTTGATGTTACATCATCCTTGTGCTGTGTCTGACCAAGCAACCTCCTGCCAGAGCAAACCAGCACGTTGCCAAAGGTGACAGCCCTGCGGGTTGGGGTCTCATCCCTGAATCAGGACTGCACTGGGATCTGTTTTTTCTCCTTGGCGGCCAGTTCAGAGAGAGTGTCTTTTCTAGACAAGTGGGATATCGATGAATGTAGAAAGCATGTGGAAAGTGAGCAAATACACAATGAGAACTGCTGCAACTACTGCGTGGGCTGGAGGAGGCAGGGTTTAAGGCAGGTTAAGTTTAAGGTTGGATGGTGCAGCCGTCACGGTGGCTGCTTCTGCCCTGCTGGGGAGCAGAGCCACCTGTGACCCTCTCTCCTTGTTGCAARGCTCAGGCTGCAGAACCCCTGAAGATTATGATTATCTGATTAAAGAGGTTGGGGTAGGCAATTCATAGAATTGTTATGAATTACAGAATTATTATGGTTGATAAGGACCTTGAAGATCATCAAGTCCAACTGATTCACTAAGCCATCTACTGCAGTTCTGGCAGAGAAACAACCYACCAAATATGTTCAGTGTCTGTCTGTCCCCCTTGCTGCAAGGGACAGGAGGACACAAGTATGGTGAAGATATAATGAAATTTGTGCTCTGCAAAAAGCCTCAAATTAGGAAACTTTCTTTGCTTCCATCAGACCAACTTTTTTTCCTTGGGGAAGGACTGCCTGTTCTTACTGGTTAAAACCCAACAAGATAGTGGATTTGAAGCCTTAGGCAACATCCGTCTTTCCTCAAACAGAAGGTATTTCTAAATCCCTAAAATGCCCTAATCAGATTTGAAGGCATTGTTGGTCTAATTTTTCAGATGGTTCTGAGAGCAATGCTAATTTKAAAGTTCTTTATAGTCAAATGTAAATACAAATTTGTCTCTGTCTCTTGACAAGTGTTTATTTTTTTCCATTCTTGAGCAGTTATGCTGAATATGTTAATTCCTTTTAAATCGAATAATGCTGTTCAGACCTTGTGAACTGGAAGTAACCACTCATCATTCTTTATTAAATTTCAACTAGAGGTTTCTAAAACATCTATCTCTAGACCATATAATCCAGCCTCTGGTGCATTTTGTAAGACTTCTACATGCATCCTCAGTCTTAAAATCAGCAGACAGTTCTCTTGTAACCAAAGGGTTTGAGAAACATTGCACTGGAAAAATAAAAAAAACCCTTCCTTTGCATTTGTAAAGTCATGAAAAACAAAGAAAGCAGCTATCAATGTCCTTCACTTTATTTTTGTTCCATCACTTTTGGAGGATGCTTGCATTAGTTGAAGTTCTCCTGTTCTCTCATCCTTACAAACTAGCTTTGACTTTTACTTTCTTTAATTAACTGCAGTTGGAGGATGTGCTCCAAGGTGTCTCAGTTGGACATGGGTCAATGGCATTCCTGACRCGGTTCTAGGAAAGTCATTGGATTTACATGAGGAAGGTCCCCACCTCCAAAAGTAGAAGTGTACAAACAGTGCACGTTGGATATGTGACTAATGACAGACAAGAAGAAATACTGATTGGGGTTAACATAACATAGAAATATTTTTCTTCCAGCAAAACAAAATACCCTTCAGCTCACTTATTTTTGTATTTACAGTAGGAGGATGTTTTATTAGGAGGAGGTTTAACGCCATTTGAAAGTGTTCAAATAATAAACTGAAATATGATTTTGAAATATAACATCAAAATACTCAAGTCTCTTGTTTCTCTTCTTTTGCTTTCACTTTTATTGAAAGTATTCACTGAATTTGACTAATCAGTTTGTTTCCCTGGAACCTCATCTTTTTTTTTTTTTTTTTTTTTTTAGATTAATTTTATTGACAGACTCAATTAATTTGGTCTAAGAAAAAATATGTAAACCCATTAAAGTTAATTTAATATCCACAGTTTGATTTCCACTACTCCTTTTTTTAAAAGATTGCCTTTCCATGAATGAAGAAAATAATGTTCTCTCAGATAGGTTGCTAAACACCATGCTCTGCTTGACACGCAATAGATGGGGGAGAGTGATTAATAAAGGTAATTAATAAGGAGTTTGGCCTAAGTAAGCCAAGGCATTTCACATAGGTCAGCAAAGAAGCAATGATTGAAACTCCAAAGAAAAATAGGGCAGAAAGAACACATTTTTGCATGCCATTACATAGGGGTACCATTTAAAACCTTTCGCGTGATGTCGTAAACACTAATTTTGCAACTGAATAATGATGATAAGATGATAATTACATTCTTCATAGACATCAAAAGTTAAAAATAGGAAGCTGACTACAGCTATTTCAAAGTTAACTAGATAGACAAATACTGAACAGATATGAATAAAGACCCACCAAGTTTTTCAGTGATGTTTTTAGAGAAGTTGTTTGCAGAAGATGTCCAGGGACTTAAGACAACTGAGAATGCAGAGGTGGCTTTTCCAGACATTCCTCTTTGATGATGCGCAAATCACACAATTCCTCTAACTCTTATATTTCTTTATATAAAGCAGGGACAATGCTGCCTCCTGTATRTGTTTTTTCTTTAGATTTCAGTTTCTTGGGAACAAGCAGTGTGTCACTATAGATACGAAGAATGCCTGACACAGTAAGTCAAAACTTGGTTCAAATTTTGGGTGCTTGAGTAGCAATAATTTATCACTCGCATAAAAAGAGTTCAATTTAAAAATGTCACAAATACTTTCCAGGGCAGCACAGTTTACAGCTGTAGAAGAGAGAGAAGCTGTAGAACTCTGTTTATTGAACAACAACTTTCCTCCACCAGATCCTGCACACCCTCAGAGCCTGGGAATGTCCTGCCTCTGACTCTGATCATTGACGGTAATGATGTTCTCAGGCTGGCTAAACAGAAAAAAAAGGGATAACTGAATATAACTTGGTGTTGATGCCTCTTGTTTCTCTCTGCGTAGAGTCACAGTAACTAGCATCCAGCTGTGCTCGGCATCATTTTTGGCAGTGCTTGCTCTATTTTTTTGCAATACTTGATTTTTTTTTCCCCATTGCTTTCATGAGTTCAAAGTGGAGATTGCTCTGAACATTCATCTGATGTTTGTTTGTTGTTGACCAGCTATTAATCACTACATGGATAGGTTGCTAAGAAAGGCCTGGGTTTTTAATTATTTTAAAAATGAGTAGCAAGACTGCTTGACGCCTGGAAAATGGGAGAGCTATAGGATGTGACCCCAGGAGCTGCTTGTGTGGCTTGTGCGTCTTCCTGCCTGCGGGTTTCCTAGCTCCTGTCTTATAAACTGAGTCCTCAGTGSAGCACACAGCTGAACGTGTTGAATGGATTGACATGAATCTGTGTTATAGTGGAGAAAGTTAACACTTTGGGAGAGGATTACCAAACCTCTGCTGTGAGACAGGATCATTGGTAGCCGAGTGACCTTTCCAGTGCAATATTAAACCAAATATTCACGTATCTGAAATGTACTGTAGTTGTCACACTTGTCCTCTGCTGTTCCTCTCACCTGAAAAACAAAGTTTCTGCTCCTCAAGTTGATGATAAACTTCCCTTGCTGCTGTTCCAGTGCCTCAGTGGTTCCTTGCCTAATCCCAGTCTTCGTTTCATCTAGAAACAGGTGCTTGTGCCTTCCCAAGCTGTCAAAAGTGTCACTTTTCAAGCTACAAAACTCACTTAAAAACAATCAGTCTCATTATACTGTTAACAGTTTTGCTTCTGTTAGAGTAATAGCTGCCATGTTCCCCTGGCACATAAGAAATGCATGTCATACCTCTCCTCTCTTAGCAGTTTGCATCTCACCTCTTCCTGAGTGAGAGGATGAGGCTCTGGGGCACTCCTACGGAGAGGAACACCCGACTCAGGCTGTGCGAGTGAGAACCGCCTCTGGGATCCCTCTGATAACCTCTGCTGCTGATGAGGACAGTTCACACGCCCAGCTCTACCAGGCTGATCTTGACCAGCTCTGGGTACCAAGCATCACTCCAGAGGCATCCAAGTCTGAACCCGAAAGAGCAACCTGCCCAGCACCAAGGCTCTGTTTTGTGTCAAAGAGTCTCTTGCCTTGATGACAAAGTGTCAACATATGTTGTAGTGTTTTATATATACACATATTTTATTGAAAGCTGCTGCAACATTCTTGGATCTGAAGGCTTTGGATCCAAAGCCTTGGATTGGATGACAGAGAGAACGAGGGTTGGAGGGACACATGACCCGTGAAGGTTCCAGAAAGCTTTGCCTCATTCTAACAGTGCAAAGGAGGCGTTAGAGACAGTAGAGAGATTATTGGCTTCTCCAAGCCACCTTTTTGCTGATACAGGGCTGTACCACACACAGTTTCAGTCATCCAAAAAGGCTTTTCTGCAGCATTTCCCTTGAGAGACTCTTCTATATGCGAACAGACATCATCATATCAGACTTTGCTGACAGTTCTCCTCCTTAGACTTGTTCTAAGTACCATCTTAGAGATTTCTCTTTTCCCAGCCTTTTTATGTATTTCTCTCTTTTGGATGTTGCATCTGAAATATATTTATCAGATTCCCTGTTTTCCATTATAGGATACTCTATTCAACTTTAGCAAAAGGGCTTGGACTACAGATATTATCAAAGATTATCTGTGGCAAAGACTGATGATGAAAAAACAGGGTCCACACAGTAATTAAGATGATGGATGTCAGTCCAGAGTTTTTGCTTTTTTCAAGTACAGATCCACAACATTTTAATAATGTTATAATGTTGATGTATCTGCAAGAGAAACAGAAACTTGGACATTGACAGGAAGAAACAGAGCTAGCTTTAAAACTGATGAAAGAGCTACTTGTGTTCAATGGTCAAAGTTCATTTTTTAATTATAAACACCAGGGGAAACAAGAAAGCAAATGACAGAGATGGGCCACTCAATGCCATGCTGCAGAAGGTTGGCATGTTCTCCTTTTTCTCATGTTGACTCTGTATTTCCATTTCTCTCTCATTAAGGCTAAGTTTGGTRTTACATTATGTGTTCTAATTACCTCCAGGTTTTGGCCTGCAGTTCATTTATATGCCATAATTATTGCAGAATTCATAAGAGGCCCAATGCTGACAATTAGGCAAGTGCTAATAGGTCTTGGGATGTGCTCAGCTGTGTTAGAAACATACAGTACCACATTAAGAGAGATTTATAACTACCTACAGGTAGCATATCTCATAACAGACATTTTTTTTTAAGCAAGGTATTTTAATTACTAAAATACAAGGAAGAGCAATTAAGAACATTCAGATGAAAGATAATGAATGTTCTTCATAAATGACCACCTTGCAATTAGCATCATTAGATCTGTCATCTACTAGAAAAAATACAACCTATTTGTCAAAGCTATGGAATGAAATGGTGATAAAAGCAATTAAAGCCATTTTCTTATGCAATGTAGACTTCAGAGTCCTCAAGCAGTTTTCAGGCCAAAGACCATCAGCCATGAGCACTGAGACTAACAGCGGGCTACATTTGTTCTACCATTCTTTAGGAAGCTGAGAATTTCTACGTCTGGTAGAGAGGAACAAACAACTTTTTGGTCAGAAAGCGAGAAGTTTGCTTTCTAACATGTGCCACAGTCTAATTGCAGCTATGTGGGAAATGTGAAAAAAGCTCCTCTCCAGTGAAACTACCTGCTTGTGTAATGCACATTTTGCTGTCCTGTGATCCCGGTAGGAGCAACAGACCCTCTCTGCTGCTGGTTCCTACTCTGTTCCTGGTATAAATGCCTCACTTACAAACCTTTGTTTCCCCATCACATTCATAGAAAGTTGCTCCTCATTTTTAGCTTGGATAAAACGGATACTGAAATAAGTCAATAACTCCATATTGCTTAGGGGCTGTGTTTTCATTCCTATGTTGTTCTTCAGGAAGTATGAGGCTTCATTTACTCATCTGCTTTCCCTGCCAAGTACTATTTGACTATTTAGATAKTCTTGAGGAATGTGTGGAGAAGACAGGAGGTGCCTTCATGGCTCTTCAATATGATTTCAGTATGATTCAGAGGGTGCTAAGTCCCCATTTTCTGTTAGCTGTATTTCTTAACATCCTGTGATGATGGTCTGCTATCTGATGCAGCCTTTCTGATCTCAATGGGACTATTCCCAAACACCTGCTAGCAGGACTGTGTATGTGTGATAGTAAACCCTATCTAAAGACTCTTCTCCAAGAGTCAGAAGAGAAAAAATCTAGAGAGAGAAGGACATGAGTGTAAACACTATGTTTTTGTTTGTTTGATTTGGTTTTGGTGGGTGGAGTAGGGAGGAATACAAGAATCTAGGGAGCCCAATGAGAGAGCTAGACTTGTTCTTGGATTTATTGAAAGGAGCCATAAACAACTGCTCTTCAGATCCTCTGTTATACAAAATCCTTGTAGCATGGTATTTACTGCATTTGCACTGCAGTACCACTGCATTTGGTCATAGGATGAGGTACCTGGTTCAATCAAAATATCTGGGAGCTGGCTAGGAAAATGCATACAATAAGTGGTGGTGAGGGCATATTCCTTCCCTTGCTGACACTATTAAAGTTTTCAGTTTTCAGGAATGCAAGTTTGGGAAATGAGTCTTCAGGTGAAACTGTCCAATTACTCTATCTGACAGAAAGTGAAATGCTGGCAGAAAACAATCCAAAATATATCATCAACATTAAGTCTTTTGATTGACTGTCATCTCCGGGCCCCYTAAGCATTATGTGAAGCTCTAGAGTTTGCTGGAGTGTGTCTATGGAATATACATTTTAATTGGTATTCAAGTAATGTCATATTTACACATGACAGAAAAGAGCTGCAATAGTATATGGTACCTAAATGTGAATGCTAGCTGTCAAAACAGATAATACATATTCTTGTCACTTGTGCTGTGGCAATAGTGATTGTATGTTCTAAATATTATACAAATTCTAAATGAAAAGGCTGATTAACTTTAGCTGGAATAGATAAGCTGAAAGTCACTGAATCTTCCAACAGGCAAATTCTATTCTGCAAGATTACCTTTTTCATAATCTCATAAATCACTTTTTCAGCACAAATGCAAACATTTTCTGCAGCAGGAATTTGTTCACAAGGCACAAAAACCACAGCAATAAAAGTTGATGTCACATTGAGCCTCAGGTGCAAAAACTCCCTTTGACCCCAAAGAAAGCTTCCATCTACTTAAGAGTTGTTAATAGCATACTTAAGAACATTATTTATTATATATCCAGCAGAAAAAAATCTAGTTTCTTATTAAAACAAATAATGCCCAAAATATAAAGCTCAAAACAGACATTAAGTAAGCAAAACCTCATCTGTGTTTTCGCTAAGATAATGCTGTTTTAGATTTGTCATGTGGAGCAAATGAAATTGTGTTGTTCAGGTTTGTTTTAGCTTTTTGAGAGATCAAATGGTGTCTTTTTGCCGTGTTGGCCACTGCAGAGGTTGGTTCCTTCAGGCAGAGCTCTTTTCCCTAAGGCAAGCTAAACACAGAGGTCATTTCTTTCTCCTTTCACATAATGAAGGTGTCAGTGGTGACCCCAGCCACTGAACCAACGGACCTCGTGTCCACGGGATCGTGGTCCTGTGCTCYGCATTAATTGAAGCACATCATTGAATGTGCTGAACTGGAGCATTGCTGAGCCTTAATATAGAATAAGTTCATGGAATATCCACCACCTTCTGTGTATGCCTTTGTGTTTGTACGTGAGTGGGCAAATACTTCTGCACACGCTTGCTGTTAACACAGGACTACTTTTGATACCTTGAGATTTCTTTCCCTTCTTCTCCAGTTATAAGTGTTCTTTCAGGGCACACAACAATGGGAGTGCCAGCAGGTTCACTGCTTTATGTATCGCCTTCAAATTTAAAGAGCAAAAAAAAAAAAAAAAAACTAAGTTGAAACTTCTCAAGGTTATGATATCTCCTCCTTTGGTTCTCTTTGGGCGGGCCTCTGTATTTTCTGCTTCAGAGGAGGCAGCTTATTCTATAAATCTCTGTCTTAGCCTCTGCCTTAGTGAATAAAAGTTTTATGCTTGTTCCCATTGAGGCAAAGCAATGATATATGTACTAAATGGAACAGAAAATTGCATTTTAGCCAGCAGGTGTCAAATACTTAAGTTGTGTCTCAACTGATACAATCATTTGTTGATCTTAAGACATAAACCCGAGTTTGTATCTATACTTCTTTGSGTTACCTTGAGGCAATCTAAGGTATACTTTGCTGAATAACTCAGCAAAAGATCACACATCTGGATGATTTTGCTACATATAAAAAATGTGGGRGTTTTTGTCCCTATTTTAAGTAAACTTGTTCCTGATTCTATAAAAATGTGTGGCTGGCCCTAGCCTTTATAAGAGAAACCATAAGATTATGTGGTCCTTTATAGACATTTGTGCTTTATTACTTCATCAGTGCTCATCCTAAATCCTTTACTTACATTTCTGCTGCTACTTAGAAAGATCTGTCATTACTATTTATTCTTAAATACAAATTTCTTCTAGAGCAGAGACCTCTGATTTTGCCAAAGCTTACCGGTTTCACACAGTGACCCTGACAGCCCTTTGCTTGAGCTTGTTATCACTTGTTATTTATATGTGACCAGACCCAAATATTTACCTTTGGGTCTGTGAGTTGTAGCACTGTTTTCCATTCAGAATTGTGATATTTTGAAACTGTTTTCTGAGACTCATATTATTTTGGAAGGCTTGGCTAATGAGCACTTTTAAGAAGTATGCTATCAGCCATATTCAGCAGTGAAAGAAAATGTCCCCAAATATCCGTTGTGATACAGACAATCTCAGCTCTGAGCTCTGGGTTCAACATTCTTGTTTTGCAGCTACTTCAGACTGAAAGCTTTGGCATTTATTATTTTCTATGCTAATAAAATACAGAGTAGAGTGTTATCCATACTGTTACAGATCTGAAGAAGGAGACCTACCTCACCTATTGCCTTCTAAATTTTAGTGTTCTCTGAACAGAAATAAATAAATAAATACAATTAAACTGAAGTGAGGGGAGGGGCCTTGGGGCTTTGGCRTTATTAAGATACGGCGTTACAGGATGTGGTGCACCTTTCACATAGCTCAGCTTGCCTTTTCTCATGGCCTATGGCTTTCTAAGATCACAAATATCCTGAGTGTCTTAAAAAGCCTAGACTGTTTAAACTGCATTAAAGTAAAGGGTAAAACAAAAACTAAAATAGGACCAGAAGATCATTGCTGGCTCCCCTTAGTACTACCACTACAGAACAGCAGAAGAAYGTGAAGAATTTGGCATGCTGA